TCTTGTTGTTGTCAATGAACTCTCTCCTACTATCAAAGACAATGCTGTTGATGAGACCGAAGGTGACGGTCTGGATAGTGCTATTGCTGTTGGTAATGCTTTTTCCCGTCAATTTTATTCTCCTATGTCTAAGTCTTGTTTTTCTCGTATTTTCTCTCAAATGAAATTTCGTCCTGAGAGGACGATTGTTAGTGAGCACTTTTAACAACTAGGGTTGCTTGAACTGTTGAAATCTGTTGGTCTTGAAGGTTCTGTGATGTCTGTTGGAAACTATTGTCCGCAACTTGTCTGTGAGTTTTACTCAAACTTGACTACCTCTGTCTCTGACCCCTCATCGATGAAGTTTCAAAAGGTTATTGTGTGGAACAGTGTGATTGATTTTTCTCCGTCCATAGTGAACTCCGTACTTGGTTTAGCAGAAGGTTCCAAGCTTGCCCCATTGAATTATGATCTTGATGAAGTTGCTCACACCCTGGCTGGTGGGCAACTTAACAAATGGCTTGCTTCGGGATTGTTTGTGAAGAGTTTAACTCTGCCTGCTAATGCTCTACATAAAATAGGGGCGTCGAACTGGACACCTACCACTCACAACCAGTTTGTGACCCCTACGGAGGCTCGTGTGATCTACTGTATTCTGACTGGTATCCCTTTTGATGTTGCTGGTGTTAAGGTTGCACCTCCATGACCATCTCTTGTCAAAGCCTCCGACGTTCCTTCTCACCTGCGTGGATCTCTGGGCTTGAAAAGAAGTTGGCTGATCAGCGAAGGTACTATAAGGAGGTGCTAGGTGCGTTGAAGTCACGGGCCCCTTTGGTACCTAAATCAAAAAAGGGGGAGACTAAGAAGAAGAAGGTCGTTGTTGCTGCTAAGAAGATAAAGGTACTTGCTAAGGGGGAGACGACAAAGGTTGTTGCTGATGTAACCACAAAAGGAAAAGAAAAGGTCGCTGTTACTAAGGGAAAGGAGAAGGCTGTGGAAGAAGATGAAGGTTCTGACGAAGAAGAGGATGGAGACGCAGGCTCTGATGCTGAGAATGAGGAAGAGGAGGAGGCTTCTGAAGAAGAGTATGAGGATGGTACTGAAGAAGGTTCGGGGGAGGAATCTGAAGAAGAAGAGTCTGCGTAGAACTCTCTGCTCGACATTCATATTTGTTTTGTTAAAAACTATTTTCTGTGTGTGGTTGTTTGAACTCATTTCTTTCTGTTTTCCTTCTTTCATGTGATGAACATTTTCTTTATCACTATCTTGTGAACTATTTTTCTCTTATTCAGGTATTTGAGTTGTTCTTATGAACAACACTTATGTGATGAGATAAGTATCCTTGGGGTTGATATATGTAGTGCAGGATATGTATTTACTTCATGCAGGTTCAAGGAAATAATTTTTGATTTATCTGCCAAAGGGGGAGATTGTAAGTTCTGAAGATTGACAGTAAATCGATGAACCTTGTGGTGGTCACAGGATTCAGAAATATGCGGGAATATTTATGGGAAGTTTGTATTAGTTTAAATGGAAGTCTTTTTATTTAATATTATTTATCATTGATTTATAATTAATCTTTTCTTATGCCAAGTCCATGTGAATTAGCTCAGATTTAGTTACCATAAGTACGAGGAATAGATCGCATCTATAAGGAATGAAGAACTTACCTTATGGGCATCTTTACTTGGACGGAAAGCAAAAGGAAGAAGACTTACCCAATGAAGCTTGAGGATAAAAGAAGGACAGTACTGATGTTGAGGACTACTTTGGCTGCTGAAATATCATTCTTTGATGTAATTTTTATTTTCTTTGAGAATAGTGAGCGAGAGTCGATATACTTTGTTTTGAGTGAGTTTACAACAGAGTGTTCGGAGCTTCATTCTGAAATAGTTTGAGAGAATCGAACTAGAAAATACACAAGGTAGTTGTGGTCAGATAAGTAGTTTTGTGAATCACTTTTCAAGTAGTGTAGAGGGAGTCTATACTGTAAACCCTTGGAGAGTGTGTGTTTTGTTCACATTAATGAAAGAGATCTGAAGGGAGAGTGGGACGCTCTCCTAAAGGTTCAATTTCAAGTGAAATTGCTTCCGCAATTATTCAAATCTTCCTTACTATATGTTTGCGTTATTTGCTGGAAACTCTAGATACTTGGTGAACAAGTATCAAATTTCATATAATATATTATGTAAGTACCAAATATTGATGACATCACCACCAAAATAATAAATATAATCTCATAAATAAAATTCGATAAAATAAATAATCCGAAAAATTCTATAAATCGAACGGGGCGCTACAGAAAGATTGGCTTTAGATGATATTACACTGCTTCCCTTTATGAATGAGAATCATGTTCGAGTAAACAAGTTCTATGTTTTGTTGTTTTGCACTTAGATAGAATGGGTCATCATCGGGTGAACAGAAGATCATTCTATTAGTTACTTGCGAAACAAGAATTATTGGTTCACAACTTATATGGAAATGAACACCCTATTAGAACAATTGTAGTGTCAACAATACAGTTGGTCTTGACAGATTAGTTGAATTAGTACATTTATGTATTGAACATGATCCCACAGAGGAAAAGTTCGTTTGATGTTGATCGTCGTAAACGAAGTAGGCCTCGGTTAATTACTGCGTTCTTTAACATGTAAGATATTAAACAGACATATATATGCAGTACTTATTACTTTGATTCACATGGGTGAGGTTCAATTCACTTGATTAATATTCTTACTGTCTTGGGTAATATTGCAACTTGTAGGATGTGTTGTTTAGATATTTAAGGTCACCCTGTGCGTTAGTTTGATGATGTCCCCGAAGTGAGTTCATGAGGATTGTTATGTGAAACTCTGCATGTGTGGATTAAATTTCGGCATAATAATAACGCAATGAACGATCGCTAGCTTTGGTATTATAATATATTAATTAAGTCTTTATTAGTAATCAAATCAATTAATGGACATTATATCTTTAACATGGAGGTAATTCGGGTAATTATTATTGGAGTCACAAATGTAATTTGGGATATAAAAAAGGAGTGCAATAATATTGCATTAGTGGACCGTAATATTATTTAAGTAATTGGAATAGTGAGTTTGGCCCACAGTTAGCCCATTACTTAAGAAGCCCTATTCCTATTCACCTGAGGATCCCTACTGTATCTCTATATATACATCATTAGGCTTATTGAAAATAGAACTAGAGATCAGAATTCTCCTACGTGCTAAATATATACACGCACGCACGCCCCTCTCTCCCTCTCTCAGTTTTATGTTCGAGTTTTATCTTCTTCTTGTTACTCCACCGGTACAAGTTCAAGAGGTGTACGAGTAATACAATAGAAGATCCCGAAGGTAATAGAGACATCGCGATCATCTACCGGAGTCGATGAACCACAACCCGATGGCCGATATTTGCTGACTACAGCCCGCCAGACGAAGCCCCAACGACAAGTCGACCACAGCCGGCCAGCCAAAGCGAGTCCCCGGCAAACACTGCAGTCCGGTTCCTCGATCCCGCCCCATCTGCTCGATCCTTGCTATACCAATTGTTGTTCCCAGTCATCCCGAATACGTCAGATTCACATAATTTTTAAGCCGTAAGTTTTCTACGTCAAAACCTTTAGATCCGCTGCGCATAGGCTTACATTTGCTATTAAATTCATGACTTGTACATAACGAGATCCTCACAGATTCTAACATCAGCTACTTACTGAAAAATTTCTTAAGTAGGATAGAGCTCAAGGTACCATGAGCTTAAATACAAATATCAGGGTTAGATCAAGAAGTTAGAAGTTGAGGGTTCTTCGTAAAGTTAAACACTTTATATGGAGGTGTTGTAATGGCACTCTACCTGTGAACCTAAAATTGAGAGCCAAGGGTGTTGAAGTGGATCCTATATGTAGATTTTGTGGAGAGAAAGAGAAGTATGTAAAACTTGTTTTTTTGCTCAATCAGTTTGCAAATTGGCTCCCTTTAGTTGTGAAGGGCTACAGGGAACAAAGACATTTAAAGATTTGTGGTGGCAAGTTTGTCATCTGGATAGGAGTGAGGCTTCTAAAGCCAGGATACAACTTTCAACGTACATACTTAGGTGGCATTGGAAGTCTCGTAATCTCTGATTTTTTGAACACGTTTGAAGGCCACCACTGACTATTAACAAGGTTGTAGTCCAAGAATTGGAGCTTATCTGAGGAGTAGTAGGTGCTAGGTCTCTTGTCTTGAGTATTTTTTCTTTTTCTTTGTTTTTCTAGTCCGTTATGTGGTGGTTTTTTTATAGGGTTATGGTTCAGTTGAGTGTAACTGCTTTATCCTTAAGATTGATTGTCAGTTGTTCTTCGTTTTATTTGGTTCTAGCCTATGGATGTGTGGTGCTCCATTTTCCGGCAGCGTGATTTATATTGAACTTGGTTTATTGTTTTGGTTATGAGTATTGCTATCATTTATATATATATATATATATATATATATATATATATATATATTGGTGCAAGAAAAAAAATAAAAAGAACCATAAATGGAATTCGTTGTACCAATTGGAGTTGCCCAAATAAAAGTGGGACACAAATTAAGGGTTTGATTGTTTATGAAATAATTTGTTCCAGAATTAGTTATTTTAGTTCTATAGTTAATTTTGAAAAATGTGGTATAGTTAATTACTAGTAGAGTTTTAATAATGAATAATAAATTGATTTGACAAAAGAGTAGGAGGTAAATAATTGGAAATGATAGGTTGATGTGATGCGTAAGAATAATTTGTTTGTATTATTTTATTATATAAATAGTAGTTAAAATCATGTGAGTTGATAAATAATGAACTAAAGTTGATATGATATGTAAGAATGATTATTTGTATTATTTAATTATATAAATAATGTTAAAAATAGTAGGATTGAATTAAAATAAATTTTGAGAATGAAATAAAATTGAATAAATTATCTCATAACGAGTTAAACTTCAAATAATAGCTTCTCACGCGAGATCAAGAAATAAAATTAATCTCATGCAAATCAGCCGATGACCTCTTCCCCTACAAGCCTCAACCCCAACAATTCCGCCACCTTCCCGACTACGCTCCACCACCACCATCGCCATGCCGACACCAATCCCCTCCTTCCTCCTCCGTCCTCCCCGACCACGCAGCCGCCGCCCGTCGCCAACGAAACCCTAGAAAAAAGCATCCTACTCCACGCGGTGGAGATCGAGCAACCCGAATCCTCACCGGGCGTCTCGGTACCTCCGTTTTCCTGGCGGAAGCTCTGGAAATTTACCGGTCCCGGATTCTTGATGAGCGTTGCTTTTCTGGATCCGGGGAATCTGGAAGGCGATCTGCAGGCTGGGGCGATAGCTGGCTACTCCCTGTTGTGGCTTCTGATGTGGGCCACTGTTATGGGCCTCCTCATCCAGTTGTTATCTCTGAGGCTTGGCGTAGCTACAGGCCGGCACCTGGCGGAGATTTGCCGGGAAGAGTACCCACACTGGGCCGCGGTGATGCTATGGTTCATGGCGGAACTTGCCCTCATCGCGGCGGACATTCAGGAGGTTATTGGGAGTGCTATTGCTCTCAGGATACTCAGCAATGGGGTCGTGCCCCTTTGGGCTGGCTCTCTCATTACTGGTTTTGATTGGTATCTTTTCAATTTATTTTGTTTGTTTTTGTTTCCATTCCTTTTTGCATATTTATTTGTGTTCTACTAATTATTTCTTTACCTTTTTTTTTTTTTT